CCTGGGCTGCTGGGGGGGGCCTCGCCCCCCAGCAGACCAGGGAGACGCAGAGCAGCTTTTCTTGCCCCAGAGGATGCGGGCGGCGGGACCGCGGCGCATCTGGGCGGTCCCACCGCCCGTGTCCTCCTGGGGCGAGAAAAGCCCCGCTCATAACTGCGGATCCGACATAAATCGGATCCGCGCAACTCGGGGACTGCCTGTATTGAACAAATGCTGTAGTGAGCTATTGGAGAGAACAGTTTTGTAGGAGGGGCCGTCTTTTTAAAAAAAAAAAAAAGTGACACTTAAATCCTGTACAGCTATATTTATTTAAAATTAATCCTATTTAGGCAAAATCCAGTGCTCTTGACAAATTCCCACTGAATGTTAACATTCTATGTGCCTCTCTGAGGGTCTACAAAGTGGAACCAAACAGTGGAATATTGGGGATTTTCAAGGATAGAGATGATCCATGAGAAGATTTCTCATGGGGACCTGAATTCAAAAGCTGGAATATAATATTCAATATTGAATACAAAAAAATCTACACAAGGAAATTTATTTAGGAAATGCCCATTTTACTATTGCCGATGCAACTTTAATTATGTCCCCTTGTGAGTCTAACCTTTGCACTGAGTGAGGTAGGGATTCTCTGTGTGGTAGGGTGGGGGAGGAATGAATTGTACAATAAAGTGTATCATAATATAATTGCATAAGGAAGCACAAGTAAGGTGCATAGGGAACCATAAATTTGGCCTTTCGTAACCTGTGAGTGCTTGACTCTGCAACCTTTCTTTGAATGCAAGCTTTTTTATCTAATTTCATTGGTGTTTTTCATTAAAGGAAAAAGATGACAACCAATTGGACACACAAATTCGAACTCCCATGCCACTCCCTTCCCCACCACCAAAAAACCCCCAACCAGATAAACCCATTATGCATTATTAGTAGGGTTTGAACCCTGAACCGTCAGCACTCTAGCACAGAAATCTACTACCTAAGATACAGGATGAACTTGAGACAGGACAAGACTACTGTCTTAAAAGGAAGATAAACTGCAGGCGTACTTGTTTTGACTTTCTCCCTATCTGACTTCCCATCCCAGAAGGTAGGGTCCTTCCTCATGTGGTGCCCTCAGGTAGGGATGGGCTGCTGGGCCACATCCAGCATTCAGAATGGTTACTTAAGAGGAGTCCAGCCCTGTATGCCTATGCTAGGAGTTGGTTAAACTGTACCAGGAGATGCTTGCGAAGGGAAGGATCAGATGTTTTGCCTCGTACTTGGTCTGGAGAGTGCAGGGAAAGGCAGCCTGGCCCTGTTGCATCAGCTGCTTCAAGTAAGGCACATATGCTGCTGTTTTGGTAATAATGTGAGACAGGGTTGTCCCTAGTGGGGTGCAGGACCTAGGGCAATCCCTTCCGGTACCAAAGGTGCAGGATCTGGGACAACCTTCTCTGTCCCCTGCTTTACCAAACAGCACCTCCTCTCCTGAGCCCCGGGATCACCACCGCAAGTGGAATGCATTGGGGTGGGTGATGGGTGGCAGAGTGGAACAGGCTGCTGGCTCACTCCAACTCCCACTGTAGTGACTGCAGGATGCTGACCCCTGCTGCCACCCCGTGCCAGGCCTCCTGGGCCCTGTGGACTTTTATAACAGTCAGAAGTGTAATTTGCCCTTCAGCTATGCTCACTTCTTTACTGTTGGTTGGAAGTGAGCAACATCCACCCTGATTTAATTAGCACTGATGTTACACACCCATCTCTATGTATCTACCTTTTTTTTCACTTTGTTCATCTCAGGAAGTGAGTTGTATTTCATGAAAGCTTACGCTCTAATAAATTTGTTAATTTTTAAGGTGCCACCAGATTCCTTGTTGTATTCGCTGAAACAGACTAACATGAAACCTTTATTTTTAGTAGCAGAGGACAAAAGAAGTGGGAGGTGGATTCTAGGGGGGAAATGGGCAACAATTATCAAAAGCAAAATATATTTCTAGTGATTTAACCTGGATTACAACAAAGTATCAGATTCTGGAATTCCAAAGCAACTTCAGATCTGATACTCCAGTTATACTAATTATTTTCCTTAATTTAGACTCTAGACAACATTTCCCACTTCAGCACAAATTGCTTCTGTTAAACACCCAATGGAGTTTCAGTAAGTAATATTTTTCTGGTTTTGACTATTAAATTTGATCTGTATATAAACTTAATTCTTATTTCCGTATCTTTTCTTGTCTTCCATAATGCACATGTTGATTAGAAGGCCTCATGGTTTCAAATCTTGCAAGGACACTTTCTCTGCTGTTTAATTAGACTTAATAAAGTAACTGGGAGCTTAGTTTTGAAAATGTGAATAGTTTGATTTCAAGGGTCTATTTTTATAAGCACTGCTTCTATGAGTAAAAATATTGAAGATCAGTCACCCCCTTTCCACAAAAACAATTATGCTGAATAATCATGTAATGTACAGGAAGTCCCCGGGTTACATCAATCCGACTTAAGTCGGATCCCTAGTTACGAATGGGGGGGGGGCAGCTAGTGCGGGGTGCCTCTCCCACTGTCGCCGCCTCTGGCGGCGCGGGGGGCACTTCCCCCCAGCAGACCAAGGAGACGCGGGGCTAGCACTCCTCCTCCCAGCAGACCAGGGAGACGCGGAGCAGCTTTTCTCGCCATGGAGGACGCGGGCAGTGGGACCGCCGAGACACGCCGCGGTCCCTCCGCCTGCATCCTCCGCGGCGAGAAAAGCCGCTCCGCATCTCCCTGGTCTGCTGGGGGGAAGTGCCCCCCGCGCCGCCAGAGGCGGCGACAGTGGGAGAGGCACCCCGCACTAGCTGCGCCCTGGCGGCGGACTTTCCATTCATGAGGCACTGAGGGAGCCCGCCATGCCCGGTGCATTGTGGGACTGGGCTGGGAGTCCCATTCGCGGGAGGAGGCGGAGGGAGGGCGAGGAGTGAGCCGGTAAGAGGGAGACCTGGGGAGGGGGGTGGGCAGGCGGGGAGATTTAAAGGGGAATCCACCTCCACCGTTAAACACCCGGCCCTGCGCTGGGCTGCGGCCTCCGGGCGCGGCAGCGGCCAGTCGGGGCGCACGGGGCACGCTTGGCCCCAGCCCCGGAGCCCAGCCGCGGGGGGGGCTGGGGAAGGGGATGCGAAGCGCCGCCGGGACCGCTTTAAACAACTCTCCGCGCTGAGGCCGGCAGGCGACGGGTTAAATTTTTTACCCGCCGACATTTTTGTTGCCGCTGGGGCTCCGCGCTGTAGAGTCCCCTGGCCGGGGAGCCTGGCGCACGCCGCTAGCGGGGAACGTTCCAGCCCCTCCCCGGGGCTGCGGTGGCGGCAATGGGGGGCGGCTGCGGCATTTAAAGGCAGCAACTTGAAATTTTAAGGTGTCCCATAGCCATGTCTATCTGCAGCCCTCAGCGCTACACTCAATGGAGAAATGCTCGTTGCAGTTTTTCATCCCTCACTTGTGTTGCTATTCCCTGTCCTTGGGTTTATTTTGGGTAGGTACCTGGTCCTGTTCCGAGACGCGCTGCCTGACAGGCAGTTCAGCCGGCGCTGCCCCGAGCGCCTCAGGGGAAGCACAGTGGGGGAGGCACCTTGCCCCACCAGCTTTGGGTCCATTGGCCCCGCAGACGCCCCTGGGCAGCTCCAACACCCCCCGCTGTCGGCTGGAAGGAGGGTCTTGAGAATAAAGCTTGAGAATAAAGGACTGAGGGAAGTGAGGTGTGGGAGAATAAAACTGAGCTCTGGAGAAATGTTTGGCTAGAGTTTCCCCTACAATATGTATCAGATCTGACTTGCATACAAATTCAACTTAAGAACAAACCTACAGTCCCTATCTTGTACGTAACCCGGGGACTGCCTGTATTGAATGTATTCAACAGGATTAAAGTACAGGTGTATTTTGTGAAATGAAGGAACTTGAAGAGTTTATTTCCTATACATGTCTCTTCCTGGCATATGGTATGCATCTTGCCCTACATCTTGTCATGTTGTCCCATCCAAAACTGCACATTTCTGAGGACTGGTCCATTTCTATATCTTCTGTATATTTGAAACAAAAGACGGCTACATCTCTATTACTATTCTGTATATTTGAGAGAGTTTTTCTGTGAGTGAGTTTGTCTGTTCAAGAATTCCTCCTAAACCAAGTTTGATCTGCTTCCTCTTGTCATAATATAAAGCAAGTAAGGGTTTGGTTGTGCCAGGACAATGGGATGTACCTGGAATGTGATGTTTTCTCATAAAATAAAAGGGAGGGCTCTGCTAGCAGGGACAGTTGTGCTGTATAATGACCACCGGGGGGCAGCAAGGGGCCCATTGACAGCTGTAACCCATTTGGGAGGTGGGAGTGGAGAAAGGGACGGCTATCTGCTATATATTTGAGTATGTGTGTGTCTGTCCCCCAGTCAAGGGACATGCATCCCTCTCCTGGCTGTGCCAGCTGAAGTATCCATGGACAGGTGCTTTTCACTTGGCCCTAAGCTGCTACGGTGAGAGAAAGCTGGGGTTATTTGAGTTAAGGACCCAAGCAACACTGGGGAAATCTTCTAGTATTTTATATAAACTGTCATGTATATCTCTGGTGTTATATACAAACATTATTTCATAGTAAAAATTACTGTATGAATTTTTTTTTCTACTCAATTATTTTCTCAACATGAAGTTTTTATCTTATCTCCATTTTAGATTGCGAACATCAAGTAGTCAGAAAAAACAGTAGATTGTAAGACACTGTTGTGCATATTTAGGATTTTTTTTGTTATGTTTTGAGGCTTGCTCTGATCTACATTAATTACTGAGATTCTGGAGATAATTGTTGAGCAAATAAGATAACAGAATTTATTTAAACTTTGTACTCTTCCTTTCAGGTCACTGCTTAGAAAATTCTCATCTGATTGCTTTTCATTTAGTCTTCTCTCCCATCCCCTACCCTCTCCCCAACTGTATACTTGTATAATTCTCTTATTTATTTTTGTAGTTACACCCTTGATAATAACCTCCTAACTCCAGAGCAGAGGTCCTTTTATGATGAAAATGGTTATATACTCATTAAAAACCTGGTTTCTGGTGAAGACATCGAGCGTTTCAGGTATAAAATAGCTATTTGGCTATACACAATCATGCTAATATTTAGTAATGCTGAGGGGCTTTTTGAAACAAAATGAACTTCTCTCCCCCAAGAGGGAAGCATGTTATTAACAAATAACTTAAATACTTCATTTAAACAAAATGTTTTTGTATAGTAAAATGGTGGGAATTTGTGCTGAAATAGTTTTTAATTGTGGAGTTTTTTTTCCCTAGAAATGAGTTTGCAAAGATCTGTAAAAAGGAAGTACAAGTGCCTGGCTTAATCATAATGAGGGATGTGGCCATTGCTAAGTCAGAGTTTATTCCAGATCAAAAAGCAGTTACTAAGATACAGGATTTTCAGGAAGATGAAGAGCTCTTCAGATATTGTACCTTGCCACAGGTAAAAAGGGTAAATTTTGGCATACATTTAGGTAGTTGCCCATGTAAAGTAACTGAAATTATTTCCTATATATTTTTTCTTAGAACAACAAGAAGGATCTTTGTGAGTTCTCGGAATAACCTACTGAATTGTCATGTTTAGACATCTAGAGGCAGCTAAATTTAAGGCATGGTACAGTAGTAGTGTCATAGCGTAGTTGAATACTGATTAACTGATAAGCCTGGGCTTATTGGTTAATCTTATTGATTACATGCAACCCCACTCCCTTTGCTGCCTCAGTAAAGAGAGTTTGTGTTAAATAAAGAGAGTTTGTGTTCGTGAAAATACATGTATTTATTTGACATCAGGAAGCGGGGTTGGGGGGAGGGGTAAGTGGAAGGACATGAGGGAGGAATGAGGCACAAGCCTCCAGTGGGGCAGACCAGGGAGGCTTTGAGTGCTCCTCGGGGTGGAACCTCTCCCGCAGGGCCTCCTGGATACTGACAGCCCCTCCAGTGGACATCCCGGATGGCAGCCTGCAGAAAGTGCAGCCAGGCTCGCAGCAACAGGTTCACAAGAAGCACCAGAGTTCCCGGGGCAGCTCCGGCTCCATGTTGCAGAGTGCTATGGTGTCCCGAGTGAGGGCAACCAGAGCACTCCGAGACACAAATGCTTGCAGGGAGCCCGGGGAGCCAGCTGCTCAGGGTGTGTGTGTGTGTGTGTGTGTGTGTGTGTGTGTGTGTCCCCCTTTAAGCACAAGCATCAGAGAGCCCCGGGCAACAGCCACACAAAGACACTCCTGACCCGATGCCCTACCCCTGACCTGGTTCCGGCCAGCCTTAAATCCGAATCAGTGTCCACTGAGTGTGGACGCAGTATTTCGAATTAGCAAAACGCTAATTCGAACTGCATTTTGTGTGTAGACGTGTTAATTCGAATTAGCTTAATTCGAATTAACTATTTCAAATTAAGATAACTCGAATTAACGCTGTAGTATAGACATACCCATACAGTGGCAGCAGTGAGGAGTAGCCAGGGGCTCCCTGCAAGCGGGCTGGACGCACACTGGCTGCCCATCCTGCTCCCGAGAACTGTTGAATAGTTGTGTAACTGATAATGTTTGATGTGGTTACATGACTATTCAATTAATTGCTATCTAAAATCCTTACTGTACAGTTTAGAAAGTTTGTTTCTTAGCATGAAATAATCCTTGCAAATGTTTATTTTTGTTGTTCCTCATATTGCTCTTCCACATGTGCATCCATGGGAATGGCTGATGGTATATGGAAGTGATTTTTTTGGAAAAGAAGTAAGTCTACTTGATGTGCAGCTGTATAAATAAATCTTCTCCTTTTGTAGACAGGTGGTATTGCACATCACAAGCTAAAGCCAGATAATGTTGCTTTTTAAAGGACACTTATCTTGCAGACTAATTTAGAAAAGCACAGGTAAATGCATAGAATGTTGTAGTTCTGTCATTGCTCAAGGCAGGTCTGAGACATTGAAGTGTATGTGAGTTCATTTTTTCTTAGTCACTTTCATAGCAACAGACACTGCAGCTAGGCCTGCACTAATTACTGGTTCAGTGATACTGGTATGACAGACTGAAAGTGCTTCTAGCGTGGATGAAATTCATAGTGGCAAAACTGTGCTTTCACATATTTTATTCCAATCCCACGTCCCTCCCCTGAGTAAGGTAAGCTATAACCACAAAAATGCATTTGTGCTGTAATTGTGTCTACACTAGAGGCTTTTGCTAGTGTAGTTATGTTGATCATAAATCACACCTCATCGTACTGCAACTAACATAGTTATGCAGGAAAAAGTTGTAGTTTAAAATGTTATACTTGTCCTACATGCTGCTATGATCAGTTTTTTTCTTGTAATATATATTGCAACATAAACATCTCACTTTTTTTTTTAACATATGTTCTTCACCCTAGATCCTAAAATACGTTGAGTGCTTCACAGGGCCAAACATCATGGCCATGCACACGATGTTGATAAATAAACCTCCAGATTCTGGTAAGGGGCAGTTGTGTGAGGAAGATCTAGCCCTTAAATGGCTTTCAATAGCACAAACTACAATTAAAAAAAGAGTTAATAAAACTAAGCAGCAAAGGCAGAAGTAATGTGGTGAAAATAAAATGGATTTCAGTGTTTGTTCTGATGGGTCCTGAATACAGTTGTTCTTTTGATTAAATGCAGCAAACTAGTTCTTGCAGCATACTCTGTCTCCTCAAGGGTATTGAACAGTGAGAAATCTGTTTAGTTTAAAACAATTACATTTTTTTCTTATTCAAACTCTCCTTTCTATTTTTTTTCCAGGCAAGAAGAGCTCTCGCCATCCCATGCATCAGGATTTGCATTATTTTCCATTCCGGCCTGCAGATCTTGTTGTGTGTGCCTGGACTGCCATGGAGATGATAGACCGCAGCAATGGCTGCCTGGTTGTTGTGCCAGGAACACACAAGGGTTCCCTGAAGCAACATGATTACCCAGACTGGGAGGTAGAGTGGCATGAGGGATTATTGTGGTCTGCATTTTAGAGTTGGCAGGGACAAGGGGGTTTGTTTTTGGTTTGAAACAGAGTTTGTGGAAATTAGTAAAGTTTTACAAGGCAATTATGAATATTCTCTTTTTCTTGGTCAAAACCTTTTCATGTCTCTGAGATTTCTCCATGCTTAAGTAGATGACAGTGTATGTTTACGGGGACAGGGCCTGACTTCCTCTGTATTTGGAAAGTGCCTCGCTTGTGGTGGGTGCTACTGCAATCAGAGGTAATAATGATTGTAATATGTGTGCTTCATACAACCCTTTGGCAGCTGTACAAGCTAGCTGTTCACTATGCTAATCTATCCTAAGTCAGTCCAGCACACAGTAGGGCAATGGATGGAGCTCATCCAGGTGCAAATATTGCCAAAGCTTTGTGATTGGTTAGTGGCTCCCTGTTGTTATTTTGTAGCATTTAGTTGTGTGTCAGAGAGTCTAAACTTGGGGATGGAAAGGAGTTTGGTCATGTAAGGGCTATGCAGTTCCCTGTAGAGGGTTGAGGATATTCTCCCCAGCACTCCATTGCCACAAAGTTTGGACAGGTTGTTAACCTCTGTCAAGCTGTTTAGCAGATAGGGATGCAGTGTTGTAGCCCTGTCAGTAGTAGGATATTAGAGAAACAAAGTGGCTGAGGAAATATGTTTTATTGGTCTGACTTCAGTTGGTAAGACACAAGCTTTTGTGCTTAGCTTGTCTCTCTCACCAATAGAAGATGGTCAATAAAGTATACCTGACTCACCTTTGTTAGCATATATGGAGCCTTTAACACCCTAGATTCTACTGTAGGAAAACAAACGGGTACTTAAGGAAAATGGCAGCACCACATATCAATTTAAATAGCATGTAATATTTTTATATATTAGCAAATTGTTCATCCCTCATTAGAGCGATTTACAGGCTGAAGCTTTAAAATTAAGGGTTTGTTTTTTTCTGAGTAATATTCTTGAACAGAACATTTTCTCAAAGCAAAAAGTTATTTTTCTCATTTTAGTATAAGTAGAAAAAGACCAACTGAACTTCAGTAGACTTTTTCAGTTGCACACCAAATTGCTTTTGGCTGAAATGTTTCATGGTTTTTATTAAGACCAAAATCATAGCCTTTGAAATATGGGAGAGTGCTTCCTTAACAACAGCTTTGAGACCTTGCTGCAAAGCTGTGGTACTAGACGTCGTTTATTTCTGGGTCAGTGCCCTTTTTAAAGGTTCGAACACAAATGTAGCAGAGTTCTTTGTGGTAGGTTCGGAACTCTGAATTACATATGTAACAAATGCACGTCAAACACTGCATGTGTGTCCAGGAAGCTTTCAGTTATAAAAAACAAACCTTTTCCATCACATTAACAAGCTCTTTCCATCACACTAACTGTTCTTTTAAAGCTTGGGACCTCTTGCTCTTCAGGGAAGGTAGGTCTGTGATTCCATGTAAAGAAATGTAAAACCATGGCAAGTAAAGATACGGATTTAAACATAAAAACTGATGATAAACTGCTAGAGGGGATAGATGGATTCAAATGTCTTGGTACACAATAAGCCGAGCTGGTACATGCTCTGAGGATAAGGATCGGCAAATCGAACGCAACCTTCGGTAAACGTAGGAACATTTAGAAACATAATACCATATCCTTAGATACAAAACTAAGTGTCTGCTCAGCCATTACTGCAGCCATAGCAACTTACGGCAGTGAAACTTGGCAGCTTAAGAAAACAGATGCTCCAAAGTAAGATGCATTTCATTATAAGGGCTTGCAGAGGATATTAGGAGTAAGCTATGAGGAAAAAAAATAAACAATGAGGTCAGGAAGATGGCTAAAGCAAGGTCTCTGTTACAAATAATTTGTAAGAGCAGATCTTAATGGCTAGGGTGTGTGTCATGCATGGATCATAACCTACTACTGAGTGTGGCTTTCAGGTGGAAGCCAAAAATCCAACAAGGGGTAGTCCTGGGATGACTTGGAAGCATACAATCATCAACAAAATAGACAAATTGAATTTGAAATGGGAGAACGTAGGTCACATTGCAACTGATAAGTAAGCATGGAAGATGTGGGTAGTTTAATGTGCTGAAAAGCACGGAATGATTACGGTCTAAGCCTGAATGGTGATTTTAGGACAAAATTGAATGGTGGATTATTTAGTAGGGCTGTCAAGTTATTAAAAAAATTAATCGCGATTAATCACGCTGTTAAACAATAAGATTCCAGCTGACTCTGGGCTCTGCGTTGTGCTGAAATACCACCGCAGTGTTTCAAAAGGGCAGTGTTGTGGGAGCCAGGGATCAGCTGGAGTCTCCAGCTGACCCCAGGCTCCATGCAGTGCTGCCCCTTTGAATCACCACAGCAGTGTTTCAAAGGAGCAGCACAAGCAGAGCCCAGGATCAGCTGTGCGGCACTGCTCCTTTGAAATGCCGCCGAGGTGTTTCAAAGGGGCAGCGCAAGGGGCAGCACTGCACAGAGCCAGGTGAACTGGGGATTCCAGCTGACCCTGGCTCTGCTTTGCTCTGCCTCTTTGAAATGCCGCCATGGCGTTTCAAAGGGGCAACGCCACGGAAACATCTGTGATTAACGTGTGTTTAAAAAATTAATGTATTAATTCTGACCTACGTTAATCACAGATGTTAATATGCATTAATTGACAGCCCTGTTACTTAACAGAATTCCATAAATGGAGTCCTTTTTACTTAAGCAAGGATTCTGCACCAAGCTTTCTATCTTTCTCCCCAATGAGGAAAAGATAGTCTCTAATTTATTATTTGAATAGAATTTCAAAAAATAAGAAGCAGAAAACAAATCAAATATAGTACGGCATCAAATATAGTTGTATGAATGAACGTTTCATAGGGACTAGTTAGCTGTTTATAGGTCAAAAGAAAGAAAATGAAGAAAATGGAATGTGAAGGTCATGTAAGGCTGTTTATCCTGTTTATCTTTTCAAGGAATTCAGATTAGATATCAGGATCTGAAAAGCAGCAAGTACATTCTGATTCCTAGTTTATATCCACATTGTAGTTAAAAACCCACAGCTTGGTGTAGATGTTCTGACTTGGGCTGAGATCCTCCCATTTTGTAGAGTCCTAGAGCCAAATGTCTACTAAGCCACAATCCCTTTAGGCCAAGTCAGCTGGCATGGGCCAGGTATGGGTGTTCAAATGTAGTGCAGACATATCCTTAGCAGTTGAGCTAGATTTAAACTTTTAGGCATGAGAGGACTCAAAGGTTAATAGGTAGACTCTTAGGCATATTCAGAACTTTTAATTCTTATCTGAAATAGAGCTGATCAGTGCATGGTTTTGTTCAATTTAAGATATAGTAGTTTTAATAATCATAACTATTCCATGATGAACACTGTGTTTCTAGGGTGGCGTTAACAAGATGTACCATGGGGTGCGTGATTACAACAAAAACCTTCCTAGGGTTCACCTTGTTATGGAGAAGGGAGACACCGTGTTCTTCCATCCTTTGCTGATTCATGGCTCTGGAATGAACAGAACTCAAGGCTTTCGGAAGGTAGGAAGCCATTTCAAATTATAGTCATTGAACCTGTATTAAAGCAGATTGCATAACACTAATGCACGCCCCCCCTCTCCAAATTTGTGGAGATTTTATAGTCTTTTGCATATGAATATATTTTTGTAATCTTAATTTTTGTTTTGGTTTTATTGCTTTCTTATGTAACTTTGCTACAATGATACTTAATCTTGAATTATAATTTTGAAAAATTATGTACCCCTAAATATATATATATATTGCAGTCCTGGCTCAGGGACGTGACTAAGTGTGCATTCCTTAACTGGGACCTTAAAACTCTGTTGGTGGACGATTTTGGATTGTTCTTGTTTGTTTGCCTCTGCCCAAGGTCTCTTCCTCTGCCTTGACAAGCTGGGAATGAATTTTTTGTCATTCTCTTTTCTGAGCACCAGAGGCCACTGCAATCTGATTAACAACATAATTTAATTATGAATTACATTTAGAGATGGCATAGCGTACAACAGAAAAATTAAATGGAGTTATGCTGCCCGGTCTAGTTACTGAGAGTAGAATTAGAGAAAGAACTTACAAAGAGGGGGCTGATCTTGCATCTCTCGGGTGAGCTTGGTAGTAGTAATATCCTTGTACTAGAAACTTTTCTTGCGTGCATCAGCATATCTATACTGAATACAGAGGGATTATGCTGATGTACTTTAGTTGAGAATCTGGCACATTGATTTCATTTTAGTGAATTGTACCAATAGTTATAAAGTGTTTGGTTTTATAAACACATAAATAAGAACCTTCCTCAGAGGGGTAGCTGTGTTATTCTGTAACTTTTAAAACAATGAGCAGTCCTGTGGCACCTTAGAAACATAACAAATTTATAAGGGTCATGAGATTTCTTGGGTAAAACCCACTTCATCAGAGGAGTTGGACTGGAAATTACAGTGACCAGAGTATATTTAACTTCTTTTGCTGTTATCTGTCAATTGTAAGACCAGTGTTAGTTATAATTAAGCTAATTAAGTCAGGCTGGATGCATTTAATTCACAATATGTAATTTGGAAATGCAAATATCAAAGGCGGCTGGGAAGTTGTCTTTGTAGTGCGTTAACCAGTTAATATCTTTATTCAAGCCTAAGTTGCTAGTGTTGAACTTGTAAATTAACTCCTTGGGTGTTAAAATTATTTTGTAGAAGAATTAGTTTCATGAACACTTCTTGAGTGCTTTGACCTCACTGCAGGAGTGAGGAGAAGATGAAGACAGTGATTCATTAAGCTTATGTTACAGTGCAAATTTTCCATGTGAATGTCTAGCAAGATTATTTTTTTTAGTGAGCATATCCAAAAGCATTAGAATCAAATTTAAATATTTTCTGTTTACAACAGTGATATTTGCATTTAAGGTGGTCAGTGGGGTATTAAAAATTGTTGAACAGTGACATGTATCGATTTGTGAGCTGTGCTGTGATTTACCCCTGACTTTCTTCATGCAGGCTATATCTTGTCACTATGCTAGTGCAGATTGCCACTATATTGAGGTCAAGGGAACCAGTCAAGAAAACATTGAGAGGGAAGTTTTAGAAATTGCACACAGAAAATATAGTGTGAACATGCCTATCACCCTGAAGGTAAGTTTAAAGGTATCTTTCAATAGTGTTTTACACATTAACCCTGTTTACACAAGGGGTTAGTTATCTTTACTTTTATAAATATCTCTTTACTGCTTACTTGTAAGAGTTTGTGCTTTTTATTATTAAATAAATTAGTAATAATTTTAATGGCATTGATCTGTCTAACCATATATAACACTGGGTTTATGCAGGGATGATCCTGGGTTTAAGCAGAGAAAACAATCTTGATTGTGTTGGGAAGATAGTTCATCACACCTTTCTATTAAAGCACTTGTCTTTAATGTTTTTAACTCTTTTGTGTGGAATCACAGAGCTACTTTGAGAGATCATAGAGATGATGCTAATGAGGTGATCCAGTATATGGCAGTGTGGTTACAGATTTCATATTTCAGAGGGGTAGCCGTGTTAGTCTGAATCTGCAAAAGCGACGAGGAGTCCTGTGGCACCTTATAGACTAACTGAAGTGTAGGAGCATAAGCTTTCGTGGGCAAAGACCCACTTCGTCAGATGCATGTAGTGGAAATTTCCAGAGGCAGGAATAAATATGCAGGCCAGGATCAGGCTGGAGATGATGAGGTGATCCAATCAAGGAGGATGAGGCCCACTTCTAGCAGCTGATCTGGAGGTGTGAATTCCAAGGGAACAGAAGCTGCTTTTGTAGTTAGCAAGCCATTCACAGTCTTTGTTTAATCCAGAGTTGATTGTGTCAAACTTAAAGATGAACTGTAGCTCAGCAGTTTCTCTTTGAAGTCTGGTCCTGAAGTTTTTTTGCTGCAGGATGGCTACTTTTAGATCTGCAATTGTGTGTCCAGGAAGATTGAAGTGTTCCCCTACAGTTGCAACACTGTATGGCAACATACAAAAACCTGTAGGGGAACACTTCAATCTTCCTGGACACACAATTGCAGATCTAAAAGTAGCCATCCTGCAGCAAAAAAACTTCAGGACCAGACTTCAAAGAGAAACTGCTGAGCTACAGTTCATCTTCAAGTTTGACACAATCAACTCTGGATTAAACAAAGACTGTGAATGGCTTGCTAACTACAAAAGCAGCTTCTGTTCCCTTGGAATTCACACCTCCAGATCAGCTGCTAGAAGTGGGCCTCATCCTCCTTGATTGGATCACCTCATCATCTCCAGCCTGATCCTGGCCTGCATATTTATTCCTGCCTCTGGAAATTTCCACTACATGCATCTGACGAAGTGGGTCTTTGCCCACGAAAGCTTATGCTCCTACACTTCAGTTAGTCTATAAGGTGCCACAGGACTCCTCGTCGCTTTTGCAGATTTCATATTGCTAGCTACACTCCTTTTGTGATTGAAAGTGTGGGTGAATACCTAAAAATACATTAGAAAAGCTGTTCTGAGTTGCATGTGGACTGCACGGAGGGCACATTGACTTCTGGATGGTGCTTGCTGTCCTGATTTGCAGATACAATTTTCTTGTACTTGTTTGCAATAGGTTGAACGCCTACGGTGTTCAGAACAATAATAAGATTAGTTCATTGTTATAGGATTAGTGCAGAATTATGTCTTTAGTTGTTGAGAGATTCCTGTTTGAAATGAGTACCAAATCCACATATCTGATTGCAAACATTGACTCAATTTAATATAATCCAATAGTAATCACTTGGGGTATTTTGAGGGATCGGATGCATGGGAGATGTTCCTTGTGTACTGATCCATTCAAAGAATGATTAATGCACAAATTGTTCTTGAATCTGCAGCATAAAAATCTGGTTTCTACAATGGGGTGACCAGTGGAGGGGATTAGAACCTACTATCACTTGGGTTTTGGTGCCGCTTAAACTTCCAGGCTGTGATCTACTGCATTTCTAAACCGCTAATCAATATACTTTAAAGATACCTAGGTACCTACTGGACTTTCCAAAAGTTGCTAACTCTGATTGGAAATCAATGGGAGCTAGGCACCAAGGTGCTTTTGAAAATCTCTCTAGATGCTTTTGTGTATCTTTAGGCACCTAAGTATATAGGGACAGGTTTTAAAAATATTTATCTGCAAAGCATAAGTCTGCTTTGCTTTTGACTCCTGAATTACTAGTTTATACACTGATATTTTGAGTAGGAACAGTTGGTTGTTTAAACAAGCAGATTCTCCAGTTTGCTTGCTCAAATTGACAGCACTTTACATCTAAATTAGTTGTGTATATTTCACCTTTACTCCTAGGGGAATTCTGTGCTATTGCACTGGTGCAGAATTCATATAACCCACAGATTTCTTTGCTTCCTCACAAAAAAAGGTGAAGCAAAAAAATCTGAGGGCAATCTGGCACATCTGTTTTGAGTGTTTGAGGTAGTTGGCAGAGATGAAACGGGGAGGGCTATGCACACCATGCATATGTGCAGGAAGCCATAAACCAATACCAAGGTGGAGCTGTGTGTGCAAGTAAAAGACAAGCATGGAGGAGTAGGGCTTTTAAGGTAAGCTCTGTCCCAAGGTACAGCAGAAATGTAACAACCTGCCTTGGTAGTTGAACATTCCTATTGCTAGTTAATTGTTCCCATCTTAGTCAATTCCCTCAACAGCTTAAAACACATGTAAAGGCTCCTTTACATTGCCAGAGTGATGCAAAGGAGCAATATTGTAAATGACATCCGGGAATCCTCAGCTAGGAAGATCTATGTGCGTTCTTGCTTTTTTTCCCCATGCAAGTGTTGCACAATGAGATTAGACTATAGTTTAGGATCTATTTTAGTTATTCATTTAAAAAAAAAAAGACTTTGAGGGCAAACAAAAAATTTATCAAAAAGTCAATAAAATGTCAGTACAGTTGGAACCAAGCACTTCCCAAAGTAGCCAGTCAGGTTTATAATTAGAATGACGGCTACCAAGTATTTGTAACTTAAGTTTCATGTGTTTAGGAAATGCTGTATAGTTATTGTGAATATTTTCTGCATTGTAGTTTAAATACATTACCAAAATAATTGAAACTGTTGTGATTATATTGCATTTGGATATAGTCTGACTAACCAAGTGAAAAGGGCTTTAAACTAGGTTTGAGGAGGGCAGGTCACCAAAGCCCACATTTCAGTAAAAATTATGGAGAGAACTGGAAAGGGGGTTCAAATCTGTATTGTAGATATCTGTATATTGAGAGAAGTATGAGAAGAACTCTAAATGCTAATTATAAACACAACTATGGCATAGTTGGCATCATTGAGACTTGTTGGGATAATATGCTTGATTGGAATATTGGTATAGAAAGATACAGGGGGGAAAAAAGGGAGAAGGCGTTGCCTTATGTTTTACAAAATGTATACACTTTGACTGAGATTGAGATGGAAATAGGATGCGGACTGGTTAAAAGTCTCTGGGTAAGGATAAAAGGGCATAAAAAAACCTCACGAGGGTGATGTCATAATAGAGGGCCTATCATCTAACCAGGAAGTTGATACAAATTGTATCGACTATGTGATTACCCAATTACCCGCCTCTTCACATCCTTAGTTTTAACCAGATTGTAAACTTTCTCTGAAGAATGCTTAGTGCTTGCTTTTAATCTTCAAAGCATTACAGGCATGAACTAACTAATCCTCCAGCATCCTCCATTCCCATAAGGAAGTAAGGCATGGAGGTTGCATGACTTGTCCAGTGCAAGAGTGAGTTATCAGAACTGCAGTTGAAGCTCAGGACGTCCCTCATGCTATCTTGTTAGTTGGCACCATTGTCTCTTTGCTGTCATAAAGAATTGTGATAAACAGGCATTCTTTGCTGTTTGTCTAAAGTAAAAAGTGTGAAGGTTCCTATTTGCAGTTATTGGTCCCCTGAATTCTGTTTTAAATCACTTTTCTGCTTGATATTTGTGTGTTGCAAAAGCTGTAGCATTGCATGCCTACATAATGTTTGCTGACAGCAGTAGATGGATTTTGAGAACCCCACTATGCTTTTTAAATTGTAGAGCAGCTAGGAGCAATTTATGATGCATTAAGGAGGCATAAGATAATGTGTACAAGAAAATGAGAAGAATTTTTGTTCCTGTCATCTATCTTGCTCCATTTGCAATATAAGGCTGATGCTTGCCAGGAACATTATTTTTAAATGTGGCAGCTTTTTGGTTTTGGTTTAGTAATTTCAGTGTAGTGCTGTTCATGTATCTCTTCCTGTTGCTGCCTTTTATGCATCATAAAATTCATATAAATCACACAAATGAATTCATCTTTTTTGTGATCTTCAATATTTTTGTTTGACTTTACCATTTTTTGTTGTATTATAATTTATTAATTTGCAGCGCCTGTGGCTTTGAAGAGAAGATCAATAATTTTGTAGATGTTGTACTTTTTTTTTTTTTTTTTTTGTAAATATATAGGTAAGTTAGAGAAAATTACAGCTTCTGCTGTCTTCAGAAACAAACATTGTATCCTTTTCTGCTTAATAAACTGTTCTGTCTTTCTCTCTCTCTCTCTCTCTTCTTTTTTTAGGATATTTGGATGATCCGAGGGCGGCTTGTAAAAGGACAAAGAACTAATCTTTAGAAGAGTTTTTGATGGCAGAGATAGAAAAAGATGTGCCTGAGTGTTGTGTTCCCCGATCAGAAATCATGTTCCTCATAAATTGGCAATTGCTTTTTTGTTTAAATTATCCACATATTGCACTGAATGTTCATTTATAAATTCATTGATGTCCCACAAAATATAACATGAGAACACTGAAGTTTAACAATTTAGCAAAAATACATATTTTAACCTGTTAACGACAGTAAATATTTCTATTTTTGTAATTTTAAAAATAATTTATTTTAAAATCAACTGTTTATGAAGTGGATGAGAACTCCCAGCAAATCAGCTCTTTACTCATCACTGTACTACTTAAGCACCAGTTTAAATTCAAATATCTCTCTCCTGATGTATTTTGCGGCTGCTATTAATATAATTTTTATGCGAACTCACGGCTCTACTGAGTCAACCCTGGGTGGAAAAGACCAGTTGCATCATCTAGCTCTTCCCCTTGTTGAAGCATAACACTACATTTTGTAGTCATTTGCCTAGTTTATTAAATGTCTAAAGCAATTGGGCTATTACTAGTTCCATTGGGAGACTATTGTGGAATCAAACAGAACTCAATGTCAAGAAATCTTTCCTGATATTTAGCCTACTTTTCCCATCTTTAATTTTCTACTATTCCTCCGTATTATCATACTAAATAATTCTTTTTTCCTTGTTACTTATGCTTTAAATCAGAGATGGAAACCTTTTTTGGGTTGGAGGCCACTGAAAAGTAAGAAGCAAAAAAAAAAAACCATTCCCCTCGCACGTCAGAGTCTAGGGGGGCCAGACTAGTAGATTTTGTGCCCCTTCCAAGGTTTGGGGTAGGACAGAAATGAGGGGTTCAGTGTGTGGGAGGGGGCTCCAAGTGTGGGGTCTGCATGCAGGAGTGGTTTGGGGGTCGGTTCTGGGAGGGCAGTAGGGTGCTGGAGTGGGCTGGGGGTAGGAGAGCTGTGCAGGAGGTAGGTTCAGGAGCAGACTGGGGGTGGGAGGGCTGTGTGGGAGGTATAGGGGTCAGGAGCAGGCTGGGCAGGAGAGGGTGCAGGAACAGAGTGGGGGTGTTGGGTTGGGGAGTGGGGATGTGGGGTCTGGGGTAGGAGAGGGAGTGCAGGAGTGGGCTGGCGGTTGCTGGGTCTGGGAGGGCAGTAGGGTGCAGGAGCAAGCTGAGGGTGGGAGGGTCTGGTTAGGAGGGGTACAGGGGTGGGATGGGGTTTGGGTGTCCGGGCAATGGGGGACGCTCAACTGGCGCAGTTTCCTGGGGATGTACATGGCGCCATGTCCCCTGCTGCTCCTATTTGCTGTGATTATGGTCAATCAGAGCGGGAAGGGAAAAGCTCCAGGCAGTGTTTGCTGCACTGCTGGTTCCTGAGAGGGGGAGGAGGAGCAGCAACACATGGAGCTGCTTCCTTCCCCCACCAGGCAGATTCTGTGGATCAGATCCAGCCCCAGCTTGCCTGACTCCAGCCTGTGAGGCTCAGGGCTCCTCCCTTCCTTCAGCATCAGGGAGCTGGTGCTGGTGCCCCAGCCTTACAGGGCAGGGCAGGGGGTGCCACAGGGCTGAAGCGCCAGCTCCCTGATGCTGGGCGGGGCAGGGCAGGGGGAGAGGAGGCAGAGCCCTGAACCTCAAGGGCCCGATCCAGGCAAGCTGGGAGCCAGATCTGGCCCCTGGGCCATAGGTTCTCCAGGCCCCCCCCCCCCCACTTTAAATAGTAGAATTCACAGCAACTATCAGCATGTTCCCCTTAAAGACGTGATTTTAACTGGCATGGTCGTCACTAAGATAGTGGTCATCTCCATGGACAGTGTATTCATTGGAAGCAGGTTTTGGGAATTCAGTAACTTACCTCAATCCTTACTTGCGCCCTTTCCCATTTTTGAATAACAGGGTTTCTTTGTTTGAATTTTGGGTATGTAGGAGTAGGCTGGGTAGCTGACTGCAAGGCAGTAAAGTTATAAAGAATGAAAGAAAATAAACATTAAATAAAAACTAGCGGAATGGGGATGCTCATTGTATATCTGGTGTATTGAAATGCATTTGTTTTTAAATCATTGCTTTGTTTCAAAAATAAAAATGTTTTGGAAAAGCAGATTAAACTAAAGCAAAAACAAGCATTGTAGGTAAATTGTTGTATTATTTGTACATATTAGTGTGGTGAGAAGTGCTACAGGAAACCCTTCGGATAGAAAGATTGTGAGTTGCGGTGATTGACTTCAGTCTGTCAATTTCATGATTCTTTAAGCAGGGCACCTTAAAGCTATTCCAGAAATAGTTACAATATGCTTGACCTACAGACCGTATTTCTGAGGCATCTTTGAGCCAGATTCAAACCCACTGAATTGTTCCAGCTCAGCCCACATCAATTAATGGGAGTCTTTCTACCTTTGAGATCTGATCGAAACATTGTCAAGGCAAAATTCATGAGCAGACTTGATTCATTAATTCTTTGAGCTTCAGGGGGTAGCTGAGTTAGTCCTTCCTGTCTTAGCAATCTATCTACTGACTTTGATTTTTATCTACTTTGGTCCAACACCCATTCTTCAGTAAACAGGAAGAGGGGTGGGAGACAGAGCGTCTTTCTCTATCCCCCCACCTTTCCCTTCTCCTATTTATTTCGAGTTTTCATATCCCCTACTCATAACTCCAGTCATCTGAAGTGGGCTGTGCCCCCCAAAGCTCACGATACCATCTACATGTTTTGTTAGTCTATAAAGTGCTACCAGACCACTAATTCTTTGAGAACGTAACTTAGTTGACAGCAGAGGGTGCTGTGGCCTTGGCAGAGCTACAGATGTTGTCATAGATTCTCAGCAAATCTTTTCAACAGTGGAGTTAAGGCTTTTTCCTGAAGTGATAAATTTAAGTGAATGTTACAGGCTTCTTTAAAAAATCATTTTGGCTGGAAATTCAAAACTAACTTAAGAGTGTGGAGAGAGATAGCTAAGATCATCTAAATAGTCTACACTTGTCCCTTCTACTGTCTGTGAATCACCACAATTACACAATGGTAAAACTCCCATTGGTTTGTGGGAGCTGGATTGGGCCTAGCCTGAGCCTAGAATTGGGCATACATGGTATTACAGGCTGCAATGATTATCACATTCTGTTTAGCTAATTTAGCCTTCATCAGGGATTTGCACATTGCTGTATCATTTAACCCATACTGTGCCTATGTCATATGTTCCAAGTAACCCTTCTGTGAATATATCACCGTTAAGTGCTTGTTTCTCCTCATTCAGGCTACGTCTACACTGCAGCCTTCTTGCGCAAGAACCACTTTGCGGAAGATCTCTTCCGCAAAAAGTTCTTGCACAAGAGAGCGTCCTCACTACAAAAGCACATCACAAAAGCTATGTGCTTTTGCGCAAGAAAGCAGCCACACTGCATGGACGCTCTTGCGCAAGAAAGCTCTGATTGCCATTAACAGAATGGCCATCAGAGGAGCACCTGTGCTTTTTCCGATAGGCTGTTTTTGCACAAGAAACCCTTTTGCCATCCACACACACACTTTTGTGCAAGAACTCTTGTGCAAAAAGGCTTATTCCGCATAGAAAGAGGAATAACTCTTGCGCAAACTGCCCTCTCTTACGATGTACAGACAGTCCCCGGGTTACATGGATCCGACTTACATCGGATCCCTACTTACAAATGGGGTGAGGCAGCCCCGCACTAGCTGCTTCCCCCCAGCAGACCAGGGAGACGCGGAGCGTCTTTTCTCAGCAGACACCTCAGCTTGAGAATAAAGGACTGAGGGAAGTGAGGTGTGGGAGAAATGTTTGGCTAGAGTTTCCCCTACAATATGTACCAGTTCCGACTTACATACAAATTCAACTTAAGAACAAACCTACAGTCCCTATCTTGTTCGTAACCCGGGGACTGCCTGTACTGTACATTTTCTTGTGCAAAAACGCACTTGTAGTACAGGCACTCCAAGTTTTTGTGCAAAAACTCAGCAGTGTAGACGTAGCCTTATTGTGTAGGGATCCTTGGCACCTAACTTGAACTTTGTGAATCCCAAAGTGATTTTCTAGTTGCCCAAATGTTAGGTGTTGCCATGTTTTCTTATGAAACTCATCTGATGTAGAACGTAGGTCATTCAAATAGCAAATGGATGTTATACACCGAGGGGATAACAATTGCCAGAATGCTTTCCAAAAGCAGGTCAGTGAGAAAATGCTCATTGGCAAAGAAAGTGCTGGCATGCTGCCACTGATTGTGCAAATGAAGCTGCTGAGTTGGTCTTATGGGAGCCAACTGGAATCATTCCCTGGAAAAAGGCCTCTTTGCCAGCTCCGTGGTACAGTCCCAGTCTCCCCCTTTTGCTGCTTGCTTTACGGCCTTCAGACTTAGCTCCTTCCACCTCTGTATTTTCCCCTCCTCACTGCTACGGCATGATCAGCGGAAGCATGGGGAACACAGCAGAGACACAGTGTCAGTGCTTGGCCCTAGAGGAGCCAGGAGCAGCAACTGCAGTGATGGTCTTGCTCAACCTCTGCAGCCCTGGGCTGGAGCATGCCAAACTAGGCTGTAGAGATGGTAAATACACAATCAAGCCTGCACAAGAAGATGGAGCACGCTTAGGCCAAGACTATACTGGCACTTTACAGCACTGTAACTTTCTGGCTCAGGGGTGTGAAAACCCCTCCTCCCCGGAAGCAGCAAGTTACAGCAAGTAAAGTGCCCGTGTGAACCAGGCTGCAGACTGTTAGCTATGCCCCTTGTGGTGGTTAGAGCTCTGGGAGCACTCTTCCCCCAGAGCTCCTGCCCTGGTTACACTTTGGCTACGTCTACACTGCAGGCTTTTTGCACAAGAACAAACAGCGGTAGCATGGGAGTTATCAAAGAGCTGATGCTGCCTCCACGGCTCTGGCCTGACACTGTCATGCTAGTAAATTACAGCTGAGTCCAGTGCAGACTGGTTAGGGCCTGGTCCATGCTACCAGCTTATGCCAGCACAGCTGTGTCAACTAAGAGTGTGTCTGATATGATCACACCGCCAGCTGGCTTATTTGTCTCCCTGCTGATCTGCCTGGTTTCGGACCCCTTTGCTTGGGTGTGTCTGTTCTGCAATTGAACACTTGCAGCTGACCCTATGGGGTGTGGGTTCCTGGGCTAATAGCTGCCGTGTAGAGATGTAAGCCTGAGTGCTAGCACCCCTGTTAAGCAGAGCCCACACTACCAAGCAAACCCCCTCTCTGTCCCCACTGGGCTAGGGCATTCAACCCCCCTGTTCCGTAAATTGAACACGCGCTTAATCCGTGAGGCAAGAGTTCTGGAGCGCAAAGCAATAGGTGCTGGAGCTCAAGTACATTTTTTACTTTCCTAACTGAAGTGACACGCCCAATGCTCCTCGGGCTATAAACTGCCAAGCCAAGATGTGTCTGGCTCCACCTGGGAACAAATTAAATCCTGAGGGTGACCCTGTCAGCCAGGACAGGCTAAGCCCATTTCTGCTGCCCTTTACTCTCACAATAAGGAGAACAGCATTTTATTACCTCCACGTGCAAAGTGAGATGTAACTCAACATCAACCAAAACTGATCACTTGGCAAGCACAGCTCTGTCTGCTGGGTAGCCTGGCAGAGTTAGTGCGTTCATGTAGATACAGCCTGGTCCTGAAACCTTCCGGCTCATCACTGGCTGTCAGGAGAGAGCTCGTTCCCATCTTCCTTACAGATCTCAACTTGAAATTATTAGGTTGGCCAACATTGCTGAAATGAGTGTCGACATTGTCATAAGAAACAGCTGTGAGAGGATGCACATTTTTGTTCATACTTTTCAAACCTCTTTTTTATTCAGGTACAAATATTTTATAATGGCTGTCTCTATACTGGCGCGATCTTGCACCAGAGCCATGCGAATGAGGCTCAGCATGGAATATCGCCGAGCCTCATTTGCATAACTAATGAGCTGCCATTTTTGTGGAAGAGGTTCTTGCGCAAGACGGAGCTGTCTACACTGCCCCTTCGTGCGCAAGGAAAACCCTCTTGC